TTCCACTTTGCACAATTTGTGCATTATTTCATTTGATTGTTCCCAGTAGGCCAAAGCTTATAAAGTAAAGTAATCCTCCCAACCTCACCCAGTTGAGAAGTGTAAAAGCCAGGATTCAGACCGTGCTCCGCCCACTCTAACCAATCTGTCCTCTGCCCCAGATATACTGCAGGGACAGCCCCACCTCCCATTTGACTGATGAGGAAGCTGAGTCCATGAGCAGGGCAGGGCAGTGGTTGCAGACTCGGGACTAGAGTCCCAGTCACACTTCTATCTGGCTTTCCTAGAGATGGTGATGGAGTCCAAGAGAGGAGGTGAGCTGGGAGAGATCCTTGATAAAAGCTAATGTTGAAAAGTAAAACTGAGCAATCTGTTTAATCGTTCATCACACCTCCCTTCTGCAATAGCGCCGGGTTTTAAAGAATTCTACTCTTCCCTGAAATGAGTCAATAACAAAATATCTGATTGTGACTGTCTCTCCCTCCCGCTCTCTCTGCTGCAGAATGTTTTGTGCTTATCCCTGTCCTGTGTCTTCATAATTGTGTTATTCACATAGCAACGCACCAGGATGGAAGGGCGAGAGCCAGCAGCGCCTGCGCCAAGGGGAAGACTGGACACCCCTCCAGGATGATGCACTGCTCACCCCCAGGGCTCCCTGGGCCAAGTGGAGTGACACCCAGGCCAGCCCCCCCCCCCCCGCCCCACCACCAGCCAGAGCTGCCCCAGACCATCTCCTGAGCAAGCCCTTTAGCCAAGGAACCAAGGGTTTGTGGGGCTTCCCAGGTGGTACAGTGGTAAAGAATCTGCCTGCCAATGCAGGAGATGCAGGTTCAATCCCAGGGGCTGGAAGATCCCCTGGAGGAGGAAATGGCAACCCGCTCCAGTACTCTTGCCTGGAGAATCCCATGGACAGAGGAGCCTGGCAGGCTACAGTCCGTGGGGTGGGAAAGCACTGGACACGCCTGAGCACCCCACAAGGGTTTCAGAGGACACCATACACCTGAACTCTGCCCCCTTTAGGTTCAATTTGGAATTGTACTTTTAATAAACACCCTCTCTCAAATGGCATATTCTGCTAGCATGCAGTTTACTAGCTGTCAAGCTCTGTGCTAGGGCTGTTACATCCTGACTGGGAGGTAAGTCCTCTTTGAGGTCAGCCCTCCACACATCCTCCCTGCTCATGCATCCTCCCTGGAAGCCACTGTGAAGGTGTCTTTCTGGTCCGCCATGGGACTGGGTATCTTGGCCCCACGCACCAGTGGGGTGAGTCGTGACGACCCCTGCCCTACCCCGGCCACCATCTCCAGACATGCTGCTGCTTCCCCTTCCCAAGGAGGTGTGTGGGACACAGAGAACCTTTCCTCCAGATCCCCGACTNAGGGCTGCTGGAGGGAACAGAGAAGATGGGAGCCATGGCTAGATTCCAGGAACCTGTTTCTCATTTAGGCCTCCTGTTCAACTACCCACCACGTGCAGGGTAGGACTCCAGGGGGCTGCATGTGAAAGTGCTCCCTGGCCTAGCTGGTTCCAAACGGGAGGCCCCGGGGCTTCTGTAGCCCTTTTGCTTCCTCCAGGCACACCCTGCCCAGTGGACCCCAAAACTGAGAACTGCCTGGTCCCAAAACTGAGAACACACATCCTAACATGCAAGGTAGAGGTCCTGAGGGGCCTCATTCAGGGGGATGGCTGTACAGTGGGGTGTTGGTTCCGGGTGAAGAGATGAGAAGACCTCCCCGCCAGAGGAGGCTGCAGAAAGAAAGGAGGCCAGGGAGAAGAGTGACCTCTGCAGTGTCCCCCACCCCTCCTGCAGACCCTACCCACCAGCGCCAGGCCATCACCAACCCTCTGCTGCCCACAGTCACAACCAGGAGAGCTGCCAGCCAAGGAGGCAAGAGTGGGTGCCCCCTTTCTGTCCCCCCTCCGGGGGCTCCACACCTTAGACTGGGTTGTGGGGCAGAAGCTAAGGAAGATCATGGCCCCCCACCCCTGCGAGGCCCACACCAAGCGGCCAGTGTTATGCATGCCCCATCCTCGGTGTGGTCTCCATGTTGGGTGAGCAGAAGTGAGGGTTTGAGTTTTATAAGCAAAACAAGTGAACCTCAGACATGAGAAACCATTCACTCCAGTAGCAGATGTGTATGTCTGCCTCAGTCCTTGAGACCATATTCTTCATTCGTGAAGACCTTTGGTTCTATACGGTGAAGGAGACTACAGAGAAACTACACCCAGTTTGGAAACACATTCTGGAAAGCCTACAGCATGCATTCTCAAGGGGGCATGAGCACCCCCAAGAGGGTGAAAGTGGAGGGCAAAAAACCCTCTTGGACATTTTGGTGGTCTGTTTGGGCCCTCCAAAGCCCAAATTCTCATAGCTTAGCATAGTCTCGCATTTGAAAGAATTTAAATTTAGTTGTTTTTTTCTCTTAGTGGAGGAAAGTGATAATGAGAAAAGGGTTGAGAAACGCTAGACCCCAGGGTCCACCTCCATGGCCATCCAGGCTGGACTCGCTGATGTCCTGCCCGTGGGGATTGACCTCAGCTGACTGAAGGGGACATGGGGCACAGGAGCGGGCTCTGTCTTAGTGGGTAACCCCTAGACATCCCGACAAAGACAATTCTAAGCGTTAGAGGTGGTGGGAGAGTCCAGCAGTCTTGGGGGTTGAAGCAGCACCAGTGTAGGCAACTGTGCCACAATGCTGTGTATCCTTCCAGGTCCCAGGAAAGAGCTTCCAGAACACAAAACACAGAGCTCTTCACACCCCTCACCGCAGACCTCAAGCCCTGAGAGATGGGGTACCCGATGGACTGGCCAGGCGGACTCCTAGGGCAGGAATGGAGGGTGGGGCTGAGAGGATGCAGGTCCTTGAACATGGTCGGTGGAGCCAGGGTGCTTGGGGAGAAGGCCTGGGTGGGAGGGAGGAACTCTGAGTCCCTGAACGCCTCAGGTACCCCTCATACTTCCTTTTCCTGCTTCTCTGGCTCCAGAGACTAGAAATGAAGAGTGAGAGAGGGAAAAAAAAAAAAACACCAGCAAAATGGATACCTGTGCCCCCTGACCCACTTAAATACGCACCAGTGAAGGTCTTTGGGACCCCACCTCACCCCACCGAAAGTGACCCTGGGCTGAGTCTTCCAGGCAAGTGGTGTGGCTTCCGCCTGACCAATCTCTGCCTCAGTGGGCAGTTTTGGCCTGTGGGAAGAGCTTGGAGTCAGACACACGTGGCTACAAGTACGGCGTCAACATCATGGGAACCTGGGAAGTCAAGGTCCCAGGCCTGGCTCCACTAGCCTACACCTTCCGTGCCCCACGCCTCCTCCAGTACATGCCACGTTCAGGTGCTTCAACTTGTCTCTGGAATCATGTAATCCTTCGCTTCCCAGTAGAAACATGGGCATCACGGTCTCCCTGCCCTCAGAAGGTCTTGGTGAATGTGAACAGAGGCATCACTGATGACCTGCCAGGGTGAGCATCTCTTCCAGCACCAGATAGCCTGGGGGTCTCCGCCCCATTCTGGCTTCTCCACCCTTTCTAGAAATTCAGTGGTTTTCTTGGAAGTTGTCTCATTTCATTTCTGCAGGCAGGTGGGGAGAGGAATGGGGGAGAGAAGGATGACAGGGTCTCAGACCAGGTCACACACCTGGTGGTGGTGGGGGTGTCGGGGGGAAAGATGTTCCAGGTACACACACCCCCAAATGAGCCATTCTCTGCCTGGCCCCACGGGGCACAGAGCACTGTGCAGTTGGGGAACATGTTCCTAACAGCGGGGCCCTGCGGGGAACACTTATTTGGGTCCCTTTTCTGGGGTTCTGGCTGCTCTCCCCAGAGGACATGAGCAGGAGCCCCATTTCACCTGCTCAGGCCCAAATCAGGAGGAAGCTACCCACCCCATTCTCCCTCCACGGGCTCTCCTTGGCTTTCTGGGGGTGAGGTATGGCTCAAGAGATGCATTCTTTCTGTGTCAAGGAAGCACAAACAATTTGAAGCCAGGAGGGAAGGGCCAGGCTCCCTGTTGCCCGCTGGCAGGCTCCCCTGGGAGCTCCACCAGCGTCATGGAGGCCACTGAGAAAGGGAAAACAGCCAGCCTGTGGGGCTGGGAGCAGGAGGGAGGTTTATTAGTTATGAGTGATTAAACCAAAGCGCCCAGCACCTCAGCGTGCTTCTTCTTGTCACCCTCACCACCCAGACACAAGGAAACACGAGGGGGGCCCTCTCTGCCCCCACCCTGTGCCCACCCACTCTGACGTGGCCTCCAGCATACAGTCAGGCCCCGGCTAGCCGCCAGGTCCTCGCCTACTTCCCACTCCATTCCCTGTCTGCAATTGTTTCCAATCAGTTTAGGAAACAGCTCTGAGAACAATTAGAAACGATAACAAGGATGAATTATATAATTACAGTCCGCCTAGATCTCGGGGTGCTTCAAAAACACTGCCATACTGAGTCCAAAACCAGGATTCAAATCCAAAGGGATCAATGCGAGGGAGAAGACGGTGGTCCTGGTGAGTGGTGGGGGTGCAAGGGCTGGGGCCCAGGGAGATGGGGGCAGCCAAGGAGCTACTGTGTCCATCAGCTGGCCAAGCTGGGGCCTTCATGGCTGCCCAGGCCAAAGCCGCAAAGCACAAGTCTGGAAGGCCCAAAGTCATCCTTATGGTAGTGTGCAGAACAAGCCTCCTAGACCAAAGAAGTGTGCCCACCTGTGAAGAAGACGGGGCCTTATTGGGACCCCACCTCACCCCACCGAAAGTGACCCTGGGCTGAGTCTTCCAGGCAAGTGGTGTGGCTTCCGCCTGACCAATCTCTGCCTCAGTGGGCAGTTTTGGCCTGTGGGAAGAGCTTGGAGTCAGACACACGTGGCTACAAGTACGGCGTCAACATCATGGGAACCTGGGAAGTCAAGGTCCCAGGCCTGGCTCCACTAGCCTACACCTTCCGTGCCCCACGCCTCCTCCAGTACATGCCACGTTCAGGTGCTTCAACTTGTCTCTGGAATCATGTAATCCTTCGCTTCCCAGTAGAAACATGGGCATCACGGTCTCCCTGCCCTCAGAAGGTCTTGGTGAATGTGAACAGAGGCATCACTGATGACCTGCCAGGGTGAGCATCTCTTCCAGCACCAGATAGCCTGGGGGTCTCCGCCCCATTCTGGCTTCTCCACCCTTTCTAGAAATTCAGTGGTTTTCTTGGAAGTTGTCTCATTTCATTTCTGCAGGCAGGTGGGGAGAGGAATGGGGGAGAGAAGGATGACAGGGTCTCAGACCAGGTCACACACCTGGTGGTGGTGGGGGTGTCGGGGGGAAAGATGTTCCAGGTACACACACCCCCAAATGAGCCATTCTCTGCCTGGCCCCACGGGGCACAGAGCACTGTGCAGTTGGGGAACATGTTCCTAACAGCGGGGCCCTGCGGGGAACACTTATTTGGGTCCCTTTTCTGGGGTTCTGGCTGCTCTCCCCAGAGGACATGAGCAGGAGCCCCATTTCACCTGCTCAGGCCCAAATCAGGAGGAAGCTACCCACCCCATTCTCCCTCCACGGGCTCTCCTTGGCTTTCTGGGGGTGAGGTATGGCTCAAGAGATGCATTCTTTCTGTGTCAAGGAAGCACAAACAATTTGAAGCCAGGAGGGAAGGGCCAGGCTCCCTGTTGCCCGCTGGCAGGCTCCCCTGGGAGCTCCACCAGCGTCATGGAGGCCACTGAGAAAGGGAAAACAGCCAGCCTGTGGGGCTGGGAGCAGGAGGGAGGTTTATTAGTTATGAGTGATAAAACCAAAGCGCCCAGCACCTCAGCGTGCTTCTTCTTGTCACCCTCACCACCCAGACACAAGGAAACACGAGGGGGGCCCTCTCTGCCCCCACCCTGTGCCCACCCACTCTGACGTGGCCTCCAGCATACAGTCAGGCCCCGGCTAGCCGCCAGGTCCTCGCCTACTTCCCACTCCATTCCCTGTCTGCAATTGTTTCCAATCAGTTTAGGAAACAGCTCTGAGAACAATTAGAAACGATAACAAGGATGAATTATATAATTACAGTCCGCCTAGATCTCGGGGTGCTTCAAAAACACTGCCATACTGAGTCCAAAACCAGGATTCAAATCCAAAGGGATCAATGCGAGGGAGAAGACGGTGGTCCTGGTGAGTGGTGGGGGTGCAAGGGCTGGGGCCCAGGGAGATGGGGGCAGCCAAGGAGCTACTGTGTCCATCAGCTGGCCAAGCTGGGGCCTTCATGGCTGCCCAGGCCAAAGCCGCAAAGCACAAGTCTGGAAGGCCCAAAGTCATCCTTATGGTAGTGTGCAGAACAAGCCTCCTAGACCAAAGAAGTGTGCCCACCTGTGAAGAAGACGGGGCCTTGGAGAGCATGCAGCCCAAACTTACGAGGACCAAAGATCCGGAGAAGAAAAGGTCTCATCCCCAAACCACACAGAACTCAGGATACCGATCCCCAAGGCAAGGATTCATCCATCTGCAACACCCTGAACACCTGGCTTTGTTCTCAAAGCCAGCAGCTGACCTGCTCTCCACACTGGGAAGTTCTTCCTTCTTTTTTAAAAAAAATACTTACTTAATTAATTTAAAATGAATTAATTTATTTATTTTTGACTGCACTGGGTTTTTGTTTCTCTACTCTCTGGGAGCAGCGCTCAGGCTTCTCACTATGGTGACTTCTCTTGTTGCAGAGCATGGTCTTACTTTGCCCTGTGGCATGTGGAATCTTCCCGACCAGGGATCAAACCCATGTCCCCTGCATTGGTAGGTGGACTCTTAACCACTGGACCACTAGGGAAGCCCCAAGCCCTTCATTCTTGACCAAGAAGGATAGGTATAGAAAGAACTTTATCCTCTCGCACAAGATCACAAACTTATCCTCTAAAGTGCGAGAGAATAAATATTCAGGCTTTGTGGGCGATGTGCTCTCTGTTGTAACTCTGCCATTCCACTGCATAAGCAACCATAGACAAGATGTAAACAAACGAGCAGGGCTGAGTTCCAGCCAAACTTTATTTATGGACAGTGCAATTTGAATTTCATATCATTTTCACATGTCATGAAATATTATTCTTCTTTTGATATTTTTTCCCCCAAGCACTTAAAAATGGAAGAACCATTCTCTTCTTGCAGGCTGTACAAAAACAGGTGGCCAGCCAGATGGTGGATGGTGCTTGCTGACCCCTGCTCCAGAACATTGCTAGAATACTTGGTGTTTCTCTGATTGCTCCATACCCAGACCCTAAACAGGACTCTGTGGACTCAGCACAGCATTTGGAAAGTCTTGGTGGTCAGTGTTTGCTAGGTCATGCTGACATGTTAACCATGGGATGCCCTCAGGAAGTCATCCTACTAGTCTTACTCAAGACATTCCTTCTGGGCTTCCCAGGTGGCTCAGTGGTAAAGAATCCACCTGCCAATGTAGGGGATGCAGGTTCAATTCCTGGGTTGAGAAGAAAACAGTCCCTTCCCAGAAGAGGATGGAAGAGGGGCTGTGTTCCAGTTTGCCTCTTTCTGGACAAGACAGAAGGTCTCCTGGCATATAAACTAGTTGAGGACCAACCTCCTGGCTCTAGACACAGCACAGGCCAACCTACCCCTGTGTCCTCCTGCAGTCTCTCCTTTTAGCACTGGGGAACATCAAGCACCTTCACTCATTCAAAGCAATTGTGTTGAGTGTCCTCCACGGCTCTATGCCGGGTGACCATTGGGCACAGGAGGTCAGGTACACACAGGTCCAAGTCTCCATGCAGTTAGTGGCTTCAGGGCTGGGACCAACAATTCCTCTTTCAACCCCAGCACCTGGCACTGCATGGGAGAGGCTCAGAAAATGTTGAACAGATGAGTAAAAGAATGAAGGCATGAGACAGAAATGGTTAATGGTGTAAGATGTATCGAATCCTATGCCCGCTTAGAGGAGTGAGAATTTGTGTCCTTCTGAGAAAATCAAGAAAGGCCCAGTGACAATGGAGGTGACTGAGCTAAGGCTGACAAGATGGGTGAGATTTAGGCGTGTACCACTGGGGCCTAGAGGAAGAGCAAAGAAGAAATTACAGCCAGAAGGGATAGCCAGCAAGGGCCTCAGGAGTGATGACATCTGTAAGGACACCAACAGGTTACCCTGCTGATTCTTACATGCAACTAGAGGAATGACAATGAGGGTTAGAAGCCAGGAGGTGAGCTTTATCTAGGTCACCAGAGGGCCCAGGATGTCAGGCAAAGAAGTTTAAACTTGTGTAGGTGTTGAGTCTCCTGAACAGAGGTCGTCGAGTGGCAATGAGATTAGTAAAATTAATATGGCAGCTGAGAACATCAAGACAGGAGTCAGCAAGAAGGACAAAAGCCGACAAGCTGGGCCATTCCCCTGGTAGGAAGAGAAGTGTGGCCTGCGATGACGTGGGACTCGTAACACGATCAGTGATTATCAGTGCACACCCAGGAGTCAGAGAAGCTGGGCTCAGGTCCAGCCCCAGGGCTTAGTCACTGTACGTGGTCAGTCCTCACCAGGGCCCAGCCTCCCCACCCATGAAATAGGATAAATGTAATAAAATGAGACAATCACCGCATATCAGTTTTCTCTGATATGGTCACTCAGTACTCATATGGTTTCTCTCATAGGGTCACTGTGATGTTTAGGTGAGGTCACACATGTAGGTGTCTATATATGCTCAATATACATTAGCTGTCAATGTTCTTTTATTCCTGGAAAACACCACAATGATAGAGTCACTCGCACAAATGCTCTTTTGAGGGTTGTGATAAATAGTACACAGTTCTATGCAGCCAGCAGTCAAATTGTTTCCATTGTTCAGGAGTCACACTTGGGCCAGAGCAGGTATTTGAGCTCAGAAGGTATTTGGGCTCAGAAGGTAAAAGAACCCTCCAGCAATGCAAGCAACCGGAGTTCGATCTCTGGGTTGGGAAGATCCCCTGGAGAAGGGAATGGCAACCCACTCCAGGATTCTTGCCTGGAGAATCCCATGGGCAGAGGAGCCTGGTGGGCTGCAGTCCACGGGGTCATGACTAAGCTATTAACACTTTCACTTTCTTTCAGGTTCTTTTCAGCAGAGCGTGGGGATAGCCAAGAACACTCTATATTCCCCACTGCTTTCTTTCTCATCCTCCAAGCCCAGGACCAAGGAACCACCATATCCTCAGGAAGCAGACATACCCTCCCAGTCACGCCCCAGAGTCAGCTAGCGGCCGCCAGCAGCCAGAAATGTGTGGCCCCACACGGGACCTTAGTCAAGAAAAGTCACTGTGCTCTGCAGAAAGCTCCCAGCCCCCAGCACTGTGGGAGGGAGGGGGTCCTGACCCACAGGCCAAAGGCCTTCTATCTCAGAACACAGAGGCGTCACAGAGGGATCCGAGCCAAGGCCTCTGGCCAGCAGACAAGTCTAGGGGTCGTCTCATAGGCCAAGCCTGTCTTTTCAGATCCCTCACGCTTGAGACTAGCGATCAGTTGCTTGTCAGGCTCTGACCTGCCTGGAAAGTGGTCAGCATCGTGGAAGGCAGAGCNTTTTTTTTTTAAAGAGAAGAAAAGAAACATCCTTCATTTCCCAGGGCACCTCTGCACACAGTCCTCCTTCTGCGTTGCCATCTGGTTGCCATTGGCAACCAGGCAATCATATTTTCCTGGTCCCAGATATAATCATCATAATCAATATAGTAGAGTATTTATCCCACCTCCTTGGTTTCAAGGAACTTAAAGCTTTTCACATTATTCTTTCTGCGCTAACTTGGGGGAGATGCCGGAGGAGGTGTGCAGCAGCGGGTGGGGTGGGGCAGGACGGAACTGATGCCTCTATTTAACAGATGGAAAAACTGAGGGGAGGCACAAGAAAGGAAGGCTGTGAAGCACTGCCCACAGTGAGAAGAGAGTATTGTTAACAGTGATTGGCAGGTGATGGGGCTTTCACGGGTATTCTCCATCTATTTCTCACACCATCCCTGGGAGGCAGGCTCATTTCATTCTCTTACAGATGAGGCTCGGAAGATTAAGTGATTTGTCCAAAGTCACACAGCTAGAAATGGCATTGCTGAAACTCGAATTTGGGCTTTTGAGTTCCCTGTCAGTGTGGTTTTTTTTTTTCGCTATAACATCTCTGCAAAGAATTATAACATGCTCCTAGAGTGATTGTGTCTTTTCTATGCTTTGCCATCACCCCACTATAAATGCTCATCATTCTATTTGCTCTCATGTAGGTAATTCTCCTCTCGAATT